ACCAAGTATTTCCAAAACAAGACAAGAGAAAGCAAATGTTCCCTGAATTATAAGATTTGAACTCTGGCTGTTTCACTACTTGCTTGAGGACTAACCATTTTCAACGTCGTTTTATACATTGAGCATATGAGATTTAAAAACTTCAATGTCACCTCAATTTTTCTTAATTCTTGTTTTAGAGAACACAATGAAATTTAAGCTCTATTAAAAGTGTACTATGCAAATCAACAGTTGTAGTGAAAACAGTGGATTATCATTATGACAAAAGAAAATTAGCAAATTCATAATTTGGACTTCCATGTTCACTTCTAGTATAAGAAAAAATTGCTTATTAGAGCAAGCTGTGCTCAAAAACAGCCCTTGAAAACAATGTTAAATGTCAATGCAAAGGCTTCATGGGTATCAACGCAGCACACTGACCCACAGCAGCTGTGTCTGATCCACCTAATAACTCAAAACAGTTAATAACTTTCATGGGCTGGAGAGATGACTCAGTGGTTAAGAGCACGAGCTCTTAGTTAAGAATAATCTTCACGGACTGGAGAGATGGCTCAGTGGTTAAGAGCACTGGCTGTTAGTTAAGAATAACCTTCACAGGCTAGAGAGATGGCTCAGTGGTTAAGAGCACTGGCTGCTCTTGCAGAGTACCAGGATTCAGTTCCCAGCACACACATGGCAGCTAACAACTATAGGTAAATCCAGATTCAGGGGATCCAAGAACCTCTTCTGATCTCCACAGACACTGTACCACACAGGTGCACTTACATACATGCATGCAATACATTCATATACATAAAATAGAAATAATAAATAAAACATTTTTAAAAAGAATAATCTTCACAACTCCAAAAAGGCAAATTTCAAAAAATATCTAATGGTCTTCAGTGGGGGGAGAGGTGTGTTAACAGTTCAAAAATCTACATGGCAGTCCTGTATCACGGTTATAGTCCATAAATTCCATTCCATGAGTCTATGTTTGTAGAAGAACGTCCTTATTAAGACCTCTCCAGGTATGGTGGTGCATGCCTTTAATCCCAGCACTTGGGAGGCAGAAGTAGGCAGATCTTTGTGAGTTCGAGGCCAGCATGGTCTACATAGTGAGTTCCAGGACAGCTGGGGTTACAGAGAGACCCTCTCTCAAAAAGACAAAAATAAATAATGGTATTTTAAGCACTTTTCAGAGCCTGATACTCGAGTATTTCAAATTCCTGAAGGGTTCAGCAAAAAATATAAACTGTAGCTGGGCTTGGTCATACTCGGGAGGCTAGGTGAGACAGGAAAATCCTGGATTCAAGGCTAGCCTGAGCTACATAGGGAGACTTTTTCAACTCAAAAACCAAAAAATATGGGGCTGCAGAGATGATGACTCAGCAGTTAAGAGCTCTTACTGCTCTTCCAGCACCTACTTCTGGTCTCCTTAGTACACGTACAAATACATAGATGCAAGTAAAATACTGCTATACATAAAATAATTTTTAAAATCCAAAGTACGTGTGCGTTTGTGTATGTGTGTGTAAAGAAAAGAATGTGCCAGTCAGGCATGGTGGTGCATGCCTTTAACTCAGTCAGCATTTGGGATGGGAAGCAGAGGCAAGTGGATCTATGTGAGATCAAGGCTAGTCTGGTCTACACAGCGAGTTCCAGGCCAGCTGGGGCTACAGGGAGACCCTGTCTCAAAAAGAGGGAGGAAGGCTGAAGAAAAGAGTGTGTAAATGTGCCAAAATAGGGACTGGAGAGATGGCTCAGCGGTTAAGAACACTGGTTGTTCTGGCAGAAGACCCGGGTTCAAATCCCAGCACCCACATGGCAGCTAACCACTATCCATAACTCCAGTTCCAGGGGATCCGATGGCCTCTTCTTGTCCTCCTCGCGCACACTGCATGACACGGGTGCACTTACCTACATGCAAGCAATATACTCATACACTTAAAATAATAAATAAAATATTTTCTAAAATGTGACAAAATAAAAAAGGTCAGGGAACCTGGATAAATGTACTCACTGCACTCTTCTTTGAAATTTTCTATAAATATATTTTTCTAAACAAAATCCTGTAAGGTTCAAAGATCTGCCCTCAAAATATAAGGCATTGTCTAGGGGCTGGCTGGGCACTGTACCCTCCCCCTTTAGAAATAAAACCACAGAGAAAAGTCATTGGAATCTTTTGAAAATCTTCTAATGTGCAAACAATAAAAAGAGATGCCCTTATTAAAGATTAATATCAAGCAGTGTTATGATTTGCAGGCTTTTTTCAGATAGGCTAAGGCACAGAGCCGGAGGTTTATTTTCTGTCTCAAAGCACACTCTGGAGAATATAGCACAACACTAGCATTTTTGAGAGACTAGACATTCTGCTGGAGTTTTTATTGAAAACATTTAACCTTCAGAGCAAACTTGAATATTCCTTTTAGGATCCCAAACTGAAAAAAAAAATGAAAAAGAAAACTCAATAAGGTATATAAACACACACACACACATACATACACACACACACACACACACACACACACACACACACAATTATTTCTCTGTATTTTTAAAGAAGTGTTTACTAATAACAGTAACAACAACAACAACAAAAAATAGACCAAGAGAGCATTTTTCTTTTAATAACAGGATTATAGGGTACAGTCAAGAAGATACCAAAAACGTATTATAACTGGATTTCAGAACATATTTGACAATCATCTTCACATTTTGTAGAACTTTCCCAACCTAACCTCTGAGGTTGGGCTCTACATTTTTGACAACATTCTGCACTCATTCCCATTAACTGCTCTACCAGGCACCTTTCATCCCTGCATGAAGAAGTAAACTTACTTTTGAAAATTCCAGTCTTAAAACTATAGGAATCCTGTTTGGCAATACTGACTGAAACAGTTCTTTTTACTTGTAGAACTGGTAACTGACAGGTTTGTGGGCACGCAATAACAACACCTGAAGACATGAGAGGTTATGAGAGGTTATACTATTCTAAAAAGAAAGATATTTTTGAAGTAAAATTCGCCCCAAAAAAGATATCTTAAATAGTCTCAGTTATCACATAGAATTTTCTGTATTTTTAGTCAGCAATCATTTATTTTTTATTTTCAAGAAATTATTTTTATTTTCAAGAAACTTTATGAGAAGTTGAGGTATGATTCCTTCACTAAAGGTCCCTTTTATCCTTTAAACTCAGAGAATTATAGAATTTCCTTCGCAGAATATCTTAAGACTGTTTCTATGCTCTTTGCCAGAAAATATTTAAACAAACTTTTATAAGAATTAAAATTAAAAAGTCAAAATAAATATAGACATGTAGATGATTAGATTGATCCCCGCCCCATCCTACAGTTCCTTTTCCTTTTACCAAAAGACTGAGAGTCCAGACAAAATACTTGGCATGCTAACAGACCAGGGTACTCCATAAATTACCTCTTGGCCTTTCAATCCTTGTTGTCACTCTCATAATGAATTCCAGCATGTAGCATGGCAATTCTACCCCGTTAAGACATTGCTATTTTATACCCAATTTTTCCTGATTGTTCTCACTGATACTTCCAATTATCTTTCATTCTGAAAATAAATGCAACACTTTAACTGTATTTCTTTGCTAGCATTCCACCATCTCTACGTTTCCAACTAGTATTGATGAGATACAGTGGACACACATTTGGGAGAAGAAAGGCATAAAATACTGCTGTTTCAAAATTAATCTATATCCTAGAGTCCCTGATCCATTAATTACTAATAAATATATCATACAACAAATACCAATGGAATTTACTCAGAATTAAACATCTCAGTTCCTTCAATTTGAGGCAGAAAAGGGAGATTATTCTAAGACTTTTAGCTATGTTTCTGTTGGAAGAACTTCCTATTACATAGACAAGACACCCAACACTGACTCTAATTGCTCCTTCCTGGTTCCTACCACCATTCCTGAAAGTCTTGCTTCATAACTCTGCTCTAGATAAAGTTCAAGGCCTTACTGACATAATATGACCTTATTCCAGAGAAGGCATTAAAATGTAGTTTTCCTTCACCATTTAAAATAAACATGCACTGAAATTAGAGAAAGCTCAGAATGGTAGACACCATCCCAATGCAACATGCTCTCCTAATTTCTGCCATTACAGACCTGGCCATCATATTCAAGGGAAAATTATTAATTGCTAACAAATTAAAAATGAAATTCAACCTTAAAGCTTTTTTGGTACTGTAACACAGTTGGAAATTAGGCAATTTTATGAAAAAATAAGTGAGACATTTCTACATCTGAACTCCAAAGATGGTGTGTCTGAAATGTTCATTTTGCATTTTTTTCAATAAAACAGTCCTGCTTATACATAAAGGAAGAGTAACTTTCTCAAAACAAATATAGCAGCACTTCATTTGTCCTCTCTTAGAGAAGATATTCCATAGGTGAATTTTCCAAATAATTACTGATTCATTTCCACACCCAAATTCTCTTTACTTAAACTACTTTGAACAGAAATGCTCTTAATTGTATTCTCCTCTTCCCCTCCCATTCAAGGGGCCCACAATGAACCTAGACTTCCCTGGCTACACTTCAGGTTATCAGAGTAGACATTTAAGATAGCAATGGCATTAGCCAATGTAAATCGATTTGCTCCTGTTCTAAAGGGCTCCCTGACGATAATTAAAAACTCTCTCTCCTCTTTCTAGGTCTCCTTCACTCATCTGCTAAATCACAGCTCCTAAACTGTGGCTGTAAATGAGCGAGTCAGGCAAGTAGACATTTTGTCAAAAGCAAAAAGAACTGGCCAGGCTCAGGGTCTCCAGGGACCATCTACATTGGCCTGGCCACAGGAGGACTCACACAGCTGTGCAGACAGCATTTCTACTGACCCCTAATTTATGATTGTGTCACATTCTGGGGGAAAAGATAAGTTATTATTCCACAACAATTATTGTCTTTGCACCTTCTTGTCCAGTACAACTATCATCTTTAAAACATCACCATTAGTGAGTGAAATCCATAGAACAGTCAGACTTACCCGAGGCACGCCTTGTGAACCGGTTTATAACTGGAGCTAAAAGAAAAAAGCAGAATAATGTGATTAGATTTTTTTTTTTAATCTTATTTTTCCAAAACTCTGGAAAGGCTTAAGTAATCCTGCAATTTCAATACAAAAAAAACTGACGTGTATAAATAAAATTAAAATTAAAGAAAATATAAAATTAAATGCTTAAATTCACCAAAAGAAGTGTCAGCTAAAATCAGTATTTCACCTAATAATTTCACTTAAAGACTTTAAATAAAAATCCTTGCTTAAAGTATCCAGGAACAGGTTAAATTCATAAACACCACTAGAAAACAACTCAGCAACCACATGAAGCACCACTTTTAGAGGTAAACCCTAAAGAAGTGCTACCAGAGAACGAACAAACAGTACATGAGCCAGGCACAATAGCCCATGCCCTTAATTCCAGCACTTGGGAGGCAGAGGCAGGCAGATCTCTATGAGATAGAGGCCAGCATGGTCTACATGGTGTGTTCCAGGCGGTGAGGGCTAGGGAGATCTTGTTAAAAAAAAAAGTACATGAACAGATCTTTTCAGAAGCAGCTTGATAAGACTCATGCATAGTTCTGGGTAGCCTGGAACTTTTAGACCAGGGTGGCCTTGAACTCAGAGATCCATCGTCCTGTCTCTGAGTGCTGGGATTAAAGGGGTAAGTCATCACACACAGCTAGCAGCATCATTTTTAAGAGGAGAAAGTTAGGAAACAAAGCTAACACTTAAACAATATCCCTATAAAACGAACTCACACATAGGTAAGTCTCAGATGAAATACTGGGCAACCCAGATATCCATGGCATGCACACTGCAGATCCAGGCTGGTGCAGGCAGCACTCCACTGGCAGCCTTCCCTCCGTCTGTCACATCTCTGGCTCATCTCTGGGTTTCTTCCTGATGTACTGATAAAGTTATCTCAAGAAAAAGGGGTTGGGGGTGGTGCTGGAAAGGTGGCTCAGCAGTTAAGAGCACTGGATGCTCTTTGCAAAGGGCCTGGATTCAATCCCCAGCACCCACATAGTGGCTAACAACTATCCGTAACTCCAGTTCCAAGGGAATTAGATGCCCTCTTCTGACCTCTGCAGGCATTGTACCACATGGGTGCACTTACATACATGCAGGCAATACTCTCATATGCATAAAATAAAAATAATAAATATTTTTTAAAAAGAAATGGATGGGTTTTGGTATTCTTTTTAAAATTTCCTTTTTTTGAGAAAAGTAGGTAAACTTATGGTTCACATTATGGAAGGAAAGCCATCATATATATTCCACAAAGTGTCATGTGTCTACTTCATAATATTTTAATACTTTTAAAAGAGTAATTATAGGGGCTGGAGGGATAGCTCTGTGGTTAAGAGTACTGACTGCTCTTGCAGAGGACCTGGGTTCGATTCCCAGCACCCACATGGTTGCTAACATACATCTGTAATTCCAGTTCCAGGGGATCTGACACCCTCTTCTGACCTCCACAGGCATTGCATGACACAGGTGCACTTACATACATGCAAGCAATACAAGCATGCACATAAAATAAAAAATATATAAAATATTTTTTAAAAAACTAATTATAAGCACTGTTTATTATATAGAGACACTTAGGACAAAATTATGAAAAGACAAAATTCTTAGCACTGCGGTTATGCTGCGTAATGAGTATCTATGTACAAGAGCAAGTATTAGAAGAAAACAGATTGTGTGCCAGATGTTTTACATCAATCCTTGTCTCCATGCTATTAAACATCACTATCTTTGTATTACTGATGAGGAAATTTTAAAGTAAAGCTTGGAGAAATTGATTAACTTGCTTTAGATCTATCCTGCATATATCTATCCTGCAGCAAAGCTTGAGAATGAAAAACTAAAAATACAGTCCTTAGAAAAACAGAAAGTGAAGATACATATCCCTGAAATTCCTCAGTAAGTTATTATCTGGATAGTAACAAATTACTTACTCAAAAACACTTTCTGTGAACTGTATTTTGCCACACACATACAAAGGCCCGCCAATTTTCATGGATGCTTTAAATCCCTATTCCTAACTCCTTTAGTAAGGAGTCTTAAGAGAGTCTCCTCCAGGGCTACCAGGACAGTGACTAGAGAGAGCATAAAGCAGTTCAACCACAGGAATACAGAATGGGCGGTACAGGCAGATACACATAAGATGAAGGTAAAAGACCTACCACAGCCAAGGGAAAATAAGGGAGCCATGCTGAGCAGTCCTGTGTACCAGCCTCTTCAGGGCTGTGGCCTCAGGTGGGGAAGTCTTTGTTCTCCAGAGTCCTCACATTTCTGTATTTTTCTGGTGTTTAAGGAAGATTTCTCACAGATGGCCCTGCCATCTAGAATATCTTTTCATTTCCTTTGAGGGATCAAATTTTGTGGGGCTATTTTAACTGTCACACTAATTCAGAGCTCAGCTTTGGAAGGCAACCTTCAAAACACTACAACAAGAAAGTCCTACATCCTAGAAACTGTGTCCTCTGTGATTTTATTATAACTTTGAGTGTGTGTATGCTGTATGAGTACATGCATTTGTCAGAGGACCTCAGTTTCCAGTCTTCCCTTTCTACCTTGAGACGTCTCTTGTTTTTTTCCCAATGCATACGCCAAGGTAGCTGCCTTCAAGCTTCTGGGAATTCTCCTGTCTCTGCCTCCCATCTCCTTGTAGGAGAGCTGAGATTTCAGAAGCATGCATTTGCTTTACATTGCTTCTGGGGATGCTAACTCAGGTCTTCACAGTTGCTCAGCAAGTGCTTTACCTACTGAACCATCTTCCCAGTCCTTGCATGACTTTTAAATAACCTGCTAGGCATGCAGATTGGCAAGAGTCTATTTATAACCATCTGATCCTAGATCCTGACATTGTTATTCAGTTTAATATGTATTTGAATGTCCCTAGTAATGGGCTGTTGAGATAGCTCAGTGGGTAAAGGCACTGGCCAAATAAGCCTAGAGATTTAAGTTTGGTCCCCAGAACCCATGCAAAAGTGGAAGGAGAGAACTGACTTCACAGATTTCTCTGACTTCTCATCATGTCCCCCTCGTCATGCACACATATGACAATAATAATATATAAATAAATTTTAAATTCCCAGCAGAACAACATGGATCAAAGGAACTAAGTTTTCTTTCTTGCATTTTGTTTTGTTTGGAATTTTACTCAAAGGCCTTCATTTCAGAAAGCCACGCCTGCTGCAGTGCCCTCTGTGGTATGTAGGTGGCCAGCACAATCCATCTGGTCAGATTCCACTTGCAGCTTGCATAGTCTGAGGAGTCTACATGCAGGTGGGAGAATCTAACCGTGCTATGTCTTCTTGCTCATATCCTAAAGTACATACCTACTCAAATATCAGAAATTACTTTTCATCTAGTGTCTCCTTGACATCTTTCTAGATGCTATATCTATTTATGTGTTGTGGGCATGTAAGCTGTGTGTCATGTGTCTGAAAATAAACAGGGGCCTATGGTTGGACAGTTTCAAAAAAAAAAAGACCAGGTAGGTGGTTTGCAGTAGTCAAGGCAAATACAGACTTTGACAACAACAAAAATTTCGATCCCTCACATCCATATCTCCCCTTATCCTCTCTTGGAGAGATGAAACACAAGTATTTCCTGCATATACTTTTAGTAAGCTAAGACACTGCAATTTTTCTAGGTTCAATTCAGCTGCAACATAGGGAAGAAGGCTGAGGTTCAGGGTGGAAGCCTGGAAATAAACATGCATCTGCAAAGCAGTGACTCTATGAGAAGCTATGTCAGAGAAGAGAGAAGGAATGTGAGGGTGGCATTGCCCATGTGCCCACATTCCACATTACTGGCAGCGAGAGGTGAGAAATGGGAAGGAACATACAACAGAGCTGTGGGCCCCACTGCCCGCCCATTGCATGACTTCCATGAAACCTAATCAACCATACAACACTGACTTACAAAATAGGGCAGTAAGGCCTACCCTTCTTTCAGTAGGTTTTATGAAGTAAGAACCACATCTTTGAGAGTGCCTATTAACAATAAACTCCTAGCCAACTGCAAGAGACTGATGCTTACCTGCTGTGAACTAAGAATACTATTTTAAAAATATAAAGTGAACAGCAATACAGATTCTCAAAAGATAATTAGCAGGAGCTGGATAGATGGCTCAGCAGATAAAAGCATTTGTTGTACAAGCATAAGGACCTGGGTTCAAATCTCCAACACCCAGCAGCACTTGAGGAAACAAAGACAGGAAGATTGCGGGCACTTGCTAGCTACCAGCCTGGATCTAGGTCAATGAGAGTCCCTGTCTCAAAATAAGAAGGGAGAACGTAATAGAGCAGGACCCCCATCCTTCTCCAGCCTCTGCACACACTTCCACATGCATATATACCACACATACAAAATTAACAAATGAAGATACTTAAAATGTAACAAAATGAGTTTTCTAGTCTTGGTTTCCACCTTTAGATCTTCTTATAATTCTTGGGGGGGAGTGAGAGTGAGAGCAAGAGCGAGAGAGAGAGAATGAACACAGAGCTGTCTATATGTTTGCTTTCTTCCAAATGTTATTCCCTTATAGCACCATGAGGTGTGCTGTCCTATGTGTATCTTTAAGTATGAGTAACAGAGATTCCTCCACTGCCAACTGCATCCGTAGACTGGCTTTAGCGCCCAGTATATCCTTAGGAGTGAAATTCTTACCCCTCATCCCTGCCACTAGGTAAACTGAAGGAACACCTTCATTGCCAGCATGGGGAACAGCCTGCCATACCTAGTGTCAACAGAAACTGCTCTCGTTATACCAAAAGCTCACCTGGCATATAAAAGGTGTTGAGTTTAACATCCACAAGATGGATCAATAAACTCAAAAGTACACAAAGGAAGTCCTGCTCCCACTTACTTTATGGCCAGATCAAGTACGGATACAGGAATTGTGATAGTCTCCACCCGAAGGACTTAACCAAGTCTCATATTTCCAAATGCAATAGCTTCAAGGGCTTATCTAATTCAGAAAAAAAAAAAAAAATAGGTGACAGAAA